AGAATAAGATATTTCGAGTATGGCATGGCCTAATGATTAGAGTGCTCGACTCGCAATCTGTGGGTCGCGGAATTCAAACTCGTTGCAGAATATGCTCGCTCTTATCAATCCTAGTATTCATTTTTAAAGAATAGTCCAAGAGTTGGCAATGAGTGGTTTTGACTATCTGCGTTCCCTTTAGTCTATCACTTCAAAATTAGGAACGGCTTGTGTAGATAGCACTCGAGTACCTTTGCGCAAGATTCAACAAACAAACAAGTTACACATTATGTTGTTGTGTTGGCCAGTTTTTTACCATGTAATAGGTGACCGAAACATTCGATATTTTGTTAAATCTAAAAAAAATCAAAAAAGTAATACAGTCACTCAACTCTTCCTGTGATGGATAATTAGGTATATGTATTTTTTGAGAATTTTTTATGAACTCAAAATATTTTGATTTGTGGTTACTCTTGTGATAATTTGTCTGCAATAAACCATCGCTTAAGAAGAGAGGCCTACTGTTCTGTTTTACTTCAAAATGGTTCCAATAAAAATATTTAGACAGTCATTTATAGGGACACTTTTATAAAGTCGTAAAATTGTTTTTGATGTTTTTGCTATATGTTGTTGACTTTCGTGACAATTTGCAAGTGAAATAAACCGCTAGAAACTGGGTTTCGATATCCGTGTTGGGCAGAGCACAGATAGCCCATTTGAACTGGTTGAACAAATTTAAATTAAATTTGGTAGGGAAGCTCAGGTGACCCCCACTTCCAGCATAGAATTTAAACGTAAGCAACCGGATGGACAAACGGTTCGAGCTTGACAGCATTTCAATGTTTACTGTATATTTAAAGCTGATGCCAATCTCATGCGGTGACCTCGCTGACGCAACAATACTAATATGACACTGTTTAACAGTATGACGACAATAACCTTCCTCTGGAGGCCTCCCACTAACCAGCAAGTAACAATAATAACACTGGTCGATAAAATCGAACGTTTTTCTCTCATCAAAGATGTAAACACATTTTCTAGGTCAGTTTTACACGCTGGTTCCAAATCTGTTTACAGTTATTAAAATAACTGGTGTTAACTTCAGCACAGTTTAGGTAATAATCATACATTAGGCTAGTTAATGTTACAACTTTATTCATTTTTCAGTATAATTCCCATAAACTTTATACACACCATACACTTTGTTAAGCTTATACAGTACACACTTATGAAAAAGAAATGTACAACAACTTAAATTATAATTAAGGCAATAAATACTATTTCAAATTTGATCGGTCTCATCATGAAAACTTGACGTGCTAGAGGAAAACTAAAAACAGATTTGGAATCAGTGTCCCAAGAGCTATCTACCCTACCTATAATTATATCTGATGAAAATTACTTGTTGGCCAGTGTAATGTTAACAACACTTTTGTTAAAATGTAGACTAACTGATTTAACTTATTTTAATCAAAGGTTCTACCAAAATCAAAGCTACTTTCTGCAATTCGCTAATATATAAAATAGCAAATATACCCGATCATCGCATCGAATTTATTTTAACTTCACGGGGATGGCAAGATGATGTGCTTGTGTATCATACGCCACACAGGGTGATAAGCAAAAGCAATTCGTGCAACGCGAGCATAAACGTGGTGACTAGTGTCACGCCACGTTTTCTAGAAATATCCTGTTCCTTCGTGAATGCTCTAACATTTACTAGATTTGGGGTAGTCTGGTATATATAAGATGGTCACAACGTGACGGGACAATGTGTGTAGGTAGTGAGTAATTGATCTGCAGTCAGAGAGTATTGTTGAAGTTAACGTTCGTTGTTATAGCGTTTGTTTTAGCGCGAATGTTGAAATTATGTGTATCGTAAAGTTGTATTCGGAAAGAATAAACCAGTTTTATTTAAGAAAGGACTTGTGTCGCTAAAGTTTCGTCGGAACGAAGTTACGGAAAAATTAATTAACAAACGGAGACGTAACAAATTGGTGTCAGAAGTGGGATAAAAAAAATGGAAACGAGAAGTGGCAAATGAAACTACAGCTTAGCAGACTTAATGGCAGCAATACAAGAACAGCAAAAGAAACAAAAAGAACGAGAAGAGAAATTAAAACAGTTGGTTGAGGAAAAAGAAAGAAACAAGAAGAACGA